CGTCCGTTCGTTCGTTCGTTCGTTCGTTCGTTCGCCAAACTACGCGTTCTGAGCGAGTTATTAGCGGATCGACGCGTTACAAGTCCCTTCGCGAACGAGAGGAATCAGAGATTCATCGGTGCCATTGCAAATCATCCCTGTGCTAACCCTCCACCTCACCTTTTCGCCCTTCCTTTCCATCAAGCCTCTGCGCAACTTGGTCGCGTACTCGATTCACCATTAATTGTACTCGTTAGCGAAATTTCGTTGCGTGTCGTGGCTCGTTTATTGATTCGATCAATCCGACGCTTTGGTGGCGTCGACGCTCGCGACTGTCAACCGTCCACATTTGATTAACAAGCGTTGATTGAAATGAAACTAAATTAAAAGAACACGAATAGTTGGATCAACGTGGTAAGAATAAATTAATAGACTCAAATTAGATAGTTCCGTTTAAAAAGAAGTAACTGCTTTTTTAATGTTGCACTTGCATCACTGCATCAAAACAATAGCATGGGAACCATTGAAAGTCAGTGTACAAAATAAATTCAATTCAATTTTTGTTACTAATAAGTAACAAAATTTAATTTCTTGCGCGATTCAAAATAAATTTTGTTGTATACGTAATGGATAATCGTTAGAAGTTCAACTCTTACTTTAAATAATTTTAAAAAGAATCATGCAGTAATAAATGAGTCGTTCATTTTTAAAGTGACATAAGTCACATTTTGGAGAATAGAGTTTTTACAAGTAATGGTTCAAAAATATGTCAATTCTATCTGTAAAAATATTTCATCGTCAATGAGGCATTATTTCTTCATTCATGTGTCGAGTTATCTTTAATTTGCTAAATAGAAAACCATATTCAAAAAAATAACTTATAAATATCTCCGTATAGGTACTATTAAATATATTATAAAACAGGTAAAATTTTGTACTAATGCGATGAATGCAATTGTTTTTCTGAGATAATATTTTATCATACTGTATTTCGAAGTTTGTATTTCCTATCATTATAGTTATTTGCAAGTAATCATCTGTAAATGTGGTTTGTTTAATTAATTAATTATCTGTAATATTGATTTTCAGACTGGATTGGAAACAGAATATGAGTCTAATTTCGTCAGCGGTTGTAGTTTACCAACCGCTGTTTAGACAAATATACACGTATTAGCTGTGGCTCGCGGTTTTACCCGCTGGAATACTATTTATTTTATGTCGGTCACGTTCGACTGACTGTTCAACCGCGTGTTTTTTCGTAAATCAGTAGGTGACTGTCTTTTGTTTTCCGTAACTCAGATGTTTCAATTGATATTTTCGATAGCTGTGGCCCGCGGTTTCACCAGCGTGGAATACTAACGTTGCAACCCCTTTTTACCCCCTTAAGGGTTGAATTTCGAAATATCCTTTCTTATTTCTTGTATATGTACATCATAAAGGAAATCTCTGTGCAAAATTACAGCTTTCTAGGTTTAAGGGTTTAGCCTGGGCATTGATAGCATGTCAGTCAGGGCTTTATTCTTTATACATCAAAACCTAACTAAAAGTTGATTTTCTGCTCAAGCTGTAAACTTTTTAATTCCTGAAATAATTAAATATATGAATAATAGTGTATCAGTATTATTTTTTTCATTAATGTACTCATGAAACGTTACGCCCTGTCCAAAATAAAAAGTTTCTATAGTACCCATTTATCTCCTAATGAATCTCTAAAGTACACTTGCTTTTGAACAATTTTTATATGTTGCACAGGGGTTGCAAATTACTAACAATTTTTAAGTTATTTTACATTTTCTATTGGCCCATATTTCAATGGACTACAATCTCCTCTACAAAGAAGCAAATTATATAATCTCAATAATGTATACAGGGTGTCCCAAAAGTCGGGAGAGAGCCGGAAATGGGAGTTAGCTGAGACGATTCTGAACAACAATTTCTTTTGCAAAAATGTCGGATGGGGCTTCGTTAAAGAGATATTAAGCGAAAACTCCGACCAATCAGAACGCGCGTAGACCGTTCGCGCGGCCGCGGTAGCGAAGGCTACGCGCTGGCGGCCGCGCTTGTACGCGAACAAGTGACTCGACGTGCATCGAAGAACATTGACGCTGCCGCCTAGCGCGTAGCCTTCGCTACCGCGGCCGATCCAACGGCCTACGCGCGCTCTGATTGGTCGGGGTTTTCACTTAATATCTCCTTAACGAAGCCCCGTCCGACATTTTTGCAAAGGAAATTGTTGTTCAGAATCGACTCAGCTAACCCCCATTACCGGCTCCTCCCCGACTTTTGGGACACCCTGTATACACTAGCGGACAAGCAAACCGGAACGATTTTTCAAATGTTCATAACTATGAGAGTTTTCAACCGATTTAGGTGAAACTTCGTGAGGAGTAGTTTTTAAGTGTCTTCTGGATGTGTGCAAAGTTGGATTGGCGAGGGTTGATGTGAAGAGGTTAATTCAACCCCCTAAATGGGAGGCTGTAGAAAAACGCCTCTATGGAAAAGGCCAGGGGTGACGGGAGAGGTTGAAAAATTCAAAAAAACCTTTCGGGCGACTCTCCTTGATACCCTATACAAAATGCATCCCTTGAAGTCCTTCTTGGACAAACACACCCCCCACAAACCCCACACCCTCTAAAATTTACAATTTTTGGACGACGGTCTCAATTTTGGACTCACCGCATTCTCTGGATTCCCCTGATCCAGAAAATGTCATCACCCAAACCGTGCACCCCATAGGCACCCTTTGGGGGAAGGGGGGTGGAACAGCTCGCAAATTTTTAAATTTTTGTAGATTATTGAGATTATATAATTTGCTTCTTTGTAGAGGAGATTCTAGTCCATTGAAATATGGGCCAATAGAAAGTGTAAATAACTTAAAAATTGTTAGTAATTTACATAACCCCTGTGCAACATATAAAAATTGTTCAAAAGCAAGTGTACTTTAGAGATTCATTAGGAGATGAATGGGTACTATAGAAACTTTTTATTTTTGACAGGGCGTAACGTTTCATGAGTACATTAATGAAATAAATAATACTGATACACATTCATATATTTAATTATTTCAGGAAATAAAAAGTTTACAGCTTGAACAGAATTTGAAATCGACTTTTAGTTAGATTTTGAGGCCACTGTGCGTCACTCGTATTCGGCCGACATGGCAGTCAAAGTGTTAATTTACACGCCAGTTCCCGATTTTCGCTTTCGATTGGGGCGAAATGAAAAAGTATTTCATTTTGACGGCCGCGACCCAGAGAAAAGTACAGAGTGGTCCACCTGATATTACCACCTTGACTTACATCAATATTGTAATTCATAGTGAAAAAGTTTCAAATACAGTTAAAACGGTTTTGAGTGGGCCATACTGTGATGTTACTAGTTTTTCTTATAGGCAAACGCATAGTAGACGTACGAAAGTCACTAATGTTTTATTTAAATAGGATCGTATGTTTTTTCTCATATATTTCATATATTCTGAACAAAAATATAAACTTTTTGTGTCTAAAAATCATTAATTTAAGAGACACTTTAATTGAATCGAGATAGTATTAGGTTGTCCCTAAAATTTCTTCCAGTTCTTTAAATACAGTAATACATGCACAACATTTTATGTACAATATTACATTATTGAATTGCGTACAATTTATTTTGTTCCATTACAGTTACGACATTAACATCTAAGAAATCGGGTTGTCTAATTGTATCAACACTGCCACACAAAATAACTGAATGCACGGAAGAAACTTTTAGGACAACCTAATAGTAATCGTCTTACAATTGTCGTAATGTATTTAGTATCTTTTTCTTATATTTAACTATGATACAATACCTTATATTGACTTTTAAAGTTAAAATATCTCTTAAGCTAATCATTTTTAAGCATAAATAGTTTAATATATTTTTGTATAAAATATCAAGTTGCATCGACTAATGTAATAACATTAAAATGTGCCCCACTCGAAATCATTCTAATTCTACATGAAATATTTTTCGCTATTTGTGATTATACGGACATAAACCACGGTGGTAATATCTGATACACTGCAGTGTATAAACCGAACGTGTCGATACGATTATTTGTAAGTCAAGTGGATACAACGTGGCCACCAGTGTTGTTTAGAGATCAATTGAGAGAGGGAAAAATTGCTAACACGTGAGAAATGTTTTCCGTCTCTAACGCTCAGAATATGCATCATCGTTGCTACTTAGCTATGAATAAACGGCGCAGTTCGTGCGACCGCCCTCGTGGCTTCGCGAATTTTTTCTCCTAGCATTGGATGTTCCACGAGAACGTATGTAATTAGACGAAGGAAATCCGTGCACGATGTGCCATAATGTGTAGACTCTTTAATTATAGCGTAACTCGCGCTAACAAGTTTTCAACTAGAGTTGTCCGAATGTGTAATGAAATACAGGTCTTTGTACAAAAATTCGTTAGGCTGGTAGAACACAGTTCCACGCAACTCCGAATATTTTACATTTGTTCAAACATTCCTTATTTAAGAATTAAAAAATGTTCCTATGGCGAGGTGAAGTTTTTTTTTTTTTATATAACTAGTGTGCCATTCAATGTGGACATAAATGACGACACAATGATATTTGAGAAAGGACTGTACAAATTAAATGTAGGAAGAAACGGTATATTACTCAAAAAGAATAATAATCACTTTAAACCTTAAACAAAGGTACAAAATAAATATATCCGAAGAATTAAATGTAGGATGAAAATGTACAATATTCAAAAAGAGTAATATTCATTGTAAAATTTGAATAGATTTACTAAACAGAGGTGTTATTTCTTGAAATAATAACGATTATTAAGATTCCTCTTTAAAATCAATGAATTCATGTTGTTTATACTTCCTAATCGATCTAATGGGTTCACCAGCAACAAACGAAATTATTTTCTTCAATTTTTCATTACAGACATTTTACCGTATCTATGTGAGCTGAATTCGTCTTATAAGTTACGTTCACATTTTACGACACGATTTACATAATAGTAGAGAAAGTGTACTTACTGTGTTGCCCCAAGTAGACTGGTGTCCATGAGATTTCGGAGCGGACAAGCGTCGTAGCCACGAACAGCACAGCTCCGCACCACACACTCAAACGCGCAGCACCCATTACAATAACGGACGCGAGAATCGCCATTTCCCTCGTTTCAATCAGTTCCCTGCCTTAATATCATCTTCACTGGCTCTCTCTACGTCGCCTCATCCTATATCCACCGTCTTCGAGTTACTCCATCCCGAAAGCGTACGAAAATTGCTTGAAACGACCTATTGCGATCAAACGAGAATACTTAATACGCTACTTCATCCTTGTCTCTTCGTAGTACTAGTGATTTAAACGAAAACAAAAAGAAAAAGTACGAAATTCAAGACAATGCTTACGAAGGAATCGGGACAATCAATAATAACGATCGTTCGATAAACCAAAACAATACGTTAAGTCTCCCTCACTGTGTTGCATGAAAAATTACATTTAATAAGTAAATTAAATAAAATGAAATTGATAAATCTAATGCATTTTTAACGACACGTGAAAAGTTATAGAGTATAGTTATAGACTATATTTTCGAATATAGAAATAAATTGAATTTTTGTCAATAATATCAAAATATCAAATAATCCAGAGATCAAGGAGGTGTCCAGTATATTCAATTATTAAATATTATACGGGGTATTTCATCTACATTAACTACGTAAAATATCTTGGTCGTCTTTGACGATACGAAAAAGTGTTCAAGGGAAGTATTATTCTATGCAAAATGGCAAATACTGTGATTAGCAAACATATATTTTTTAGTTAGTTTTTTCTTAAATATTAAAATCGTCGATATTTTGTTAAATGGAATGACATATTTGCATTACCACACTTTTGTAGCTTCTAATAAGGCAAATTCAGCGACAAATAAGATGAAATGTGTGTCATTGATTTCAGTGCTTGTTTACAAAATTCTTCCTATCGCTAATGTCATATTGTAAGAAATGAAAACCTGAATTCCTCGAAAAGGAGGCGTGTACATCTACTATGTATATATAAATGCTCGATTCGACTCCTCATGTCTCTTTATTATTTACTCAACAAACATTGAAGTTTCGACATACAGAGAATTACTTAGCCAATAAATTACGTCGTACTAAAAAATTACGACAGAAATATTCACGTCCCACCATTCTTCGATACACAATCACGAAGACGAACGCGTAAAAATCGACGCGACGAATCGCGCGAATCGTTCCTCAGCAATTTTCCTCCGCGAAATAATTTCTTCGGAGCTGTAGAAACAGAGATGGTTAATGATCCGTGAACGAGCATCTGTTTTCATTCGTTTCGACGTTCGGTGTTAAATCGTCCGTGTTACTATAGGATTCCCCGCGACCGACGGAAAACTTTTAAATTAGCGCCTCTTTGCCCCTTCGTCCCATGTATCGCGTTGCATAAAATCTCTCGATCTCTGCCACTTCGTGGAGTATTGGACAGAAATGGAATTAACTTTTCAAGGGGATTGATTAGGTTGGGGGATACATTTCCGGGCTGGATAGATCACGGAGTAGTAGGGGTTGGTTGGGGAGGTTGACCACGACCAATGGAGGTCTCTGTGGAGGAAGGAAACCAACTTAGAGATATTTTTTCCCGACAAGTATGACTTCGGCTTGATTGGTAACCTACATTTGGTGGCCAGGTTATTAGTTACAAATGGTAAAATAGATATACAGGGAGTCCCGTAACTGGTGGTACAAGCGAGTAGGGGGTGATTCCAAGTAAAAAATTTAATCGAAAATGTAGAATCAAATTTTTTCATATGACGTTTTATTCTGAAAAATAATAAAATTAATAATAAATTGTGTCGAACGTATTCTAATGTGTCATTGTGCAGTTTTAATTGTTCAAACGCTATAATATTTTTTTGTTTTAATTGTTCAACTCTCGCCATGTCATCAGTGTACACAATCGACTTAACATGACCCCATAAATAAAAATCTAAAGCTGATAGGTCCGGAGATCGTGGCGGCCAACGTATTTTGCTATCACGGCCGATCCAGCAGTGATAATTTTCATTTAAATGGCATCTTACTTCTTTACTGTAGTGTGGTCGTGCTCCATCTTGTTGAAAAATTAAGTTTCTTTGAATTATAAGAGGAACTCGACAAATTTTCAAACTTATCTTTTTCGAAAATAAAACGTCATATGAAAAAATTTTTATCTACATTCTCGATTCAATTTTTCACGTAGAATCACCCCCTACTCGTTTGTACTACCAGTTACGGGGCACCTAGTATTTTTAAATTGATAAAGCAGAAGGCATTTTCTATGAGTTTAGAATTACCTTCTAAAGGATTAAGTTCTCCTTGCTGTGGAGACTATTGTAGATTGGTGAATGTAATCATAATAAGTGAGGCAAATCGTGTAGAAACAATGAATCAAATTTGGCATCATGACAAAGAGTTGAGAATTAGTACTAAATAAATGGATTCGGAGTAACCTAAGAATTATGTAAGATGCAATTTATGTCTAGGAAAAATTATGTAAATACTAATAGATTTTGTTGACAATATTCCATTTTTGTTTCTTTTCTATATTACCAATACACGAAGTTCTTTGAATCAAAAAGCAGTATATTATTTAAAACAATAGTCTATAGATTCATTATCTTTAAGACAGCTGCAGATATACTAGAAAATACTTTTAGCGTTTGTAACTAACAATTAATAATTTGGCCAGCCATTGTATGAATTCGGAAAGACGCATGTTACGAGCCTTTGTCACATTGTCAACTTTCCTATAATATTATATAAAAAAGAAACTCCGCCCCTAGCCCAACCAGTTCTTTCGTCCGATCCTCTCCACTCCTGACCCAGCTTCTTCAGTGGGTCTCTCCTCCAAGTGCCAGTCTCTATCTGCAACAAACAATAAAGTCGTTCTGTTAAAAAAGCTCTTTCAACGTTTGATCGTTAAAAAATAAACCGTGAATTAATTTCGGGTCAATCTTCGTAAAAATATGCTTACATGCTATAAATTATTGCGGGTCAAATAGTGCTTGCAAACATCCTAATTTGAAGGTGTGTATCCTGTGTATATTAAGACAATAATATATCTTCATTGTTCATAAAATATGCATTCTCAAATGGAATTTGCTTTATTTAATTAAAATTATAGGATTATATATGTTCGGGTTATTCCGCTTTTCCGTTTGAATGGTGGCGCGGTGGAATAGGGTTGGTGAGCTTTCCACCGCTGATGCTTTTAACTATGGTTTCTAGTTGATACAGTGGGTGTAGAAAGTATTCGTACATCGATCAATTTCCAAAAAAACTACGTAAAATTGTAATTTATTAATTTATTTTTTATAAACAATGACATACTACATATTCTCGGAAATCTCTAGAATAGATAGAGTACAGAAAAAATAGCTATTTATGTAAGTTGCGAAATTAACAAGAAAAAAACGATTAATCGATAGAAATATTGAAGCAATAAGTATTCGCACAACTGTTTAATTTTTAAAACTTCGTTAAAAAAAAAAGAAATTTACATTAATTTACAAGTATATAATACTTCCTTCGTGGGATTTCCTTTTGATTTTATAATTATTGTAACTCTTCTAAGCATGAAATTAACTAAATTATTAGTTATTCGAAGTGGGATTTTCTTTATTTCCTCTATTAGAGCCATTTTTAAAAGTACTTTACTGGAAATTTGAAGTTTTCTAATTCGTAAGAAGCAATAAACTAATGTGTTTACGTTACAAACTCTACTCTAAATGATTTGTCATAAAAATCGTACAAATACTTGCTTTAACACTTTTACCCATTTTTCGGATGTTTTTGTTAATTTCACAAATTATATTAATTAGTACATGTTGTTTGGACTATATCTATTCTAGAGACTTCCGAGAATATGTAAAATATCATTGATTACAAAAAAGAAGTTAAGAACCTACAATTTCACACAAAAGTTTTTTGGGAAATTGATCGGTATACGAATACATTCTACACCCACTGTACATCATTTCATCGAGGATTTACGATGTGTTAATCGCTATCGAATGCCAAGAAAGCCTTTAAGGATTCCAAGTCTCAAATAAAATTTGTAGTAAAAGTTGTCTTTGAACGCGGAAATAATTGATTGCAGCAAATGTCTAAAATTCCATAATTCCCAAAAATAGCGAAGAAGTCATAATCACATCATAAATTCTGTGTGTCTTAACTGAATCCTTAACATATAGAGTTGTCCTGTATCACGCAGAATGTTGTCGGACTCGACACGATCTGTCAAGAGAGTAAGCTCGTTAAAGAACCTTCTACATATATAACGGAAACCACGAACGAAACGAACCACTTCGAATATTCCTCTTAAAGAAGATCACAGTGTAGCGACATTCCTGTCGTCATCTCCCCGGGAAATGTCGTCGATGTCTCGTTAGCGTATCTACATCGGTAGGGTGTATGATATCCCGATCTGTACAAGATACCGAGACATGGTGACCGTGATGTCTGAGTCGAGAGGTAGGTCATTACGAGATAGAGCGAGCCGTACAGTATCTTAGCCACTCATAATGTGACAACCTCGAAGTTAAGCTCCCGTTCTGTCCTGTTATTCACTCGTTATCTCCTTGCATTCGACGCGTTCCCTCCACCTGTAGCCATGAAAAGCATCGCTGCGCGAGACAGCTTCTGAGTAACTCGTAGCGTCGTCTGAGGATCGCTTCCTTCGAGACTTCGAGGTGCTCCACTTATCGTCCTGTCCGCCTATACACTTCCCTATCTACTTAAGCGTGATCGAGCCTCGCAACTAGTGCAGCTTCAAGACGACGCGCGACGCCTCTCCTAGGCGCGATTTAAGGATCCCTAGTCCCTTTCATACGACAGGGAGCGAATAATCGAAGCCGCTGCACGGAATGGACCAGAGTTGTCAGTTTGCCATAAAGCTCGCGAGGCTGATTATTTGGCAAATAAAATCATGTCTGCAACGCAACACTTGTTTATTCAAAGAAAATATAATTTTTGGGTAAGTTTTCCGTCACTTGAGACGTACTTGTATGTTTGATTAGTCTTTCCTTTTTCTACTTTATTGTAATTTATTAGCACGGATTACATTGACGTCTTTATCGTTACAGTCTTTATCGATAGATATAATTAAGGTGAAGCAAAAATATACATGTGTACAACCCAGAATACTTGGTTCAGCGATTATAATTTGCATAGTAAAAAGTAAATACAATTTGATTTTCTGAAGTAACGAATTGATTTCCCTCTTCCCCACTAAATTAAAC